GGGGGGGGAGCCTTAATTTGGGAGCTGTTTTGGGCAATTGGTTTGTATACATCTTTCCCGGCGTCGAGTCTCCTATGCCTGGAGTCTCATCGAGGATATGTAGAGGTTGATAAAAATGTTTTTGGGAAATAATTTCTCATAATGGCCTTTTTGGGCTCAACCCTACACCCTAAACCNNAAACCCCCAACCCTACACCCCAAACCCTAAACCCTGAACCCCAAACCCCAAACCCTAAACCCTAACCCTAACCCCAAACCCTAAACCCTGAACCCCAAACCCTAAACCCGAAACGCTAAACCCTAAACCACATTGGCCTGCCGTAGACGTGGTGGTAGTGCTTGTGCGAGTAGTCCAGTCGGTCGTCTGAGAGGACTAAGGTTTAGGGTTTAGGGTTTAGGGGTTTAGGGGTTTAGGGTTATATTGGGGTAGTACTGCCTAAACCCTAAACCCTAAACCCAAGTATGGTACTACAGTAGAATCAGGTCCTGCAGAATTTTTGGTATCAACAGTACTTTGGAGGCTTTACAGTTCAGGGTTTTGGGGTTTTAGGGTTTAGGGTTTAAAGGTTTAGGGCTAAGGGTGTAAAGGTTTAGGGCTCAAGGGTTTGGGGTTTGGGGGTTTAGGGTCTATATAGGGTTTAGGGTTCAAGGGCTTGGGGTGTCGGGGGTTAGAGTTTACGGGCTTAAGGTTTAGGGTTGCTTACCACTTCACTTGTTCTTGCCATGCAAAAAGGGCTCTCAGCTTGACTGGATCCACTTCTTGCATTCCAAGTTGCGTCGACACCTGAGATGCGCTGATGCTTGTCGAACAATACAATCTTAGTCTTTGATGTTCTATTTTTCTGGTACCCTGGGTAAAAGAAACAAACATGAGTTCGATGTGGGAATAAACGAGCAGCGGGGGCTTCTCCGGCAAGGTCTGTGCCGGCCCTACTGCACACGATACCTGCATTACACAGGTGCTAAGACCTAGCTACTGCAAAACCTGCAGCCATTTTTCATGTTAACCAAAATCCTCCTGTACCCTTATTTGAGGTGGGCCACTGGGCACTTTAGCCCTCTATAAACACGCACTCGCATGCTACCCTGCCAGAAACGCAATATTTCGCTTCTAGCCGGGCGTCCCATGTCGCTCAGCACTTGGTAGGCCTCCGTGGAATGCCTGATGCCATGGGTTTAGGGTTTAGGGCTTCCGGATTTTGCAATTGAAGGAATGCCTCAGCCCCAAATCCCTAACCCCATAACTCCAGTGAAGCGTTTGAAGCAGTGCGCACCTTCTACAGTCCTGCCACCTGTGTAGAAGATCAAGTGCCGGGCCGCAACAGCACGCTCTCAGCAGAATGTCTAGGCTCCCAACCGACTACTAGGCTGCTGCTCAAAAACCTTAATTTAAGTAATATACTATAATCGGGGAAACCATATTAATTCCTACAAACATCCAAATATGGTGCGTTAACTCCTTAGCTTGCTGGGCGACTTACTTGCCATCCAAGGTGCAGGAAGCCTTTCCACTCGCACGCCGGCTGCGCTGGCCGTGGCACATAGGACCTGGGGACATAGCAAGGCGGCATGTATGGGATTAAGACATGGACCTGTGCCCTTAAACCCAAAACTCTAAGTCCCTGTTGGTACACTTAATTGCGTGTTACGGGGCCCGTAATCGTGGATATTTAAACCCTACTCGAGGGAAGTTGGAGGGCCTAGGAACAGCATGGAAGGTGAATAATATAGGTGAATATTAAGGTTTAGGAATCTAGGGTTTTGGTTTCATAGTCCCCCTTATGTAGATAGAAGATGGAACCCCCCAAGACCATACAAATCCCCAGATACACCATATTCTATCTACTAAAGGGGGACTAGACACTCAACCCTGAAACCTATACCCTGACTCCTACATCTACTTGGGGGGGGCGGCGAGAGAATGGCATAGAACCCTAAAACCCCCGAACCCTAAAATTCTAACCTTAAAACCCTAAACCCTAAAACCCTGAAACCCTAAACCCTAAAACCCTAAAACCCTGGTGCCCTAACACCCTGAACCACCTGGCTTGCGGGACTTGGGGCTCTGAACTCAGGGCTTCCCCATGACCCGTTCGAATTGATAGCCAGGCTTCGCTGGAATGGTGGAATATCATAGGGCTTAGGGTTTATGGTTTAGGGTTTGGGGTTCAGGGTTGAGGGCTTAGGGTTTAGGGTTCAGGCCATAAGCTATAGTCTAAACTCCTAGTAACCCCTCTTAAAAGCCCCTATAGTAGTCCCCTATATAATCCGAGGTCAGGTCATGATTAGCTGCTAACCAGGGAGCCAGATATATGTATGTAAGTATATATATATATACACATGATATGACATGATAAAACTGCGGGTGAGAAAACTCCTACATGACCCCAAGTACCCTGAACCTAGGGTCATGCAGGATTTAAGCATTCGCCTGATGTGATTTAGAGACATTCCTGAACTGAAGGGCTGGCGGGGTACTGTTCCACGGCAAGTTGAGGGTTTAGGGTCTAGGGAACTTACTGCAAGACGGCATATTCCACTTTGCCGTGCCAGCTACACATCATGTTCTATCGGCAGCCCACTGTGGATGGACGAAAATTTGCACCACCTTGCAATCCGTTTACACTATATAGGAGTCAAACCGTGCTTGGGCTCAAAGATGTTTCAAGATGGGCTCCATCCACCGTATGGAAACGTCTGGCTTTCTTCCGCGCTACATGAACGAGAGCCACCCGCAAACAAGTTGTTGTGCGGTTGTCTTCGTTTTTGCGGGGCTGCGTGCTTGGGCAAGGCGGCTGAGAGTTCATACTGCTGATACTGAAAATTCTGCATGACCTTAATGTACTACAAGACCGTAATTTCCAAGGTGTAAGGTACAATAATATCCACCGTAGTGGAATTCAGTCCTCCGACTGCTGTTGACTTCCAATACAGATCCAGAGCTGGTTGCGCGCTTTAGGGTTTAGGGTGTAGGGTTTAGGGTAGGGGAACATATTCTATAGGGCTTATTACAGATAGGGTTTATTACAGAGAGGTTATATTCCCTTCTTCCCAACTAAAAAAAGAACAATGAGCTCTTTCCTGGCAGGTTGGAGGAGAGATGATTTCCTTGCTTTCTAGAGAGTCCAAAAGGGTACCCTGTCTTACAGGTTCTTGGCAGGGAATAAGCTTAAGGGCTTCGGGTTTAGGATTTAGGGGTTGTACAGGGATTATATTTTCTTATTCCCTACGAGGACCTAGTAAGTTGTCGCTGCTGTTTCCCCAAAGGCTCAGGCTTGGACCCATGAGAACTTGAGTCATATGAGCTATAGCTTTGCACGGGGGATATATAGGGTAGTAGTATAGGGGCTGCTTGGGGGAGCCTAGGAATTAAGACTATTGCTCATATAGCTTGTCTTCAACAAGTCAAGAAACATAATTCCGTGAACCTTGGATTTTGCAAGCCCTGGCCCTTCTCTCCCTTCTCTTGTGGCCAGGATGCGATGAGACACCATATCCGGCGCAAAACCTCAAAGGCTTAAGTTGTAGGGCTTAGGGTTCAGGGCTTGGGGTTACGGGTTTAGGGTTTAGGGCTTACCCTAAGGCTCCTGGACCCCCATAATGAGATCCCAAACCTTAGCCCCCAAAGCCCAAACCTTCCCCCAGAAAGCCCCAGATAGCCCCAGGAGCCTTAGGGTAGGATTTAGGTGCTCTATAGAAAAGACTTGGGGGCTCTAGGATGAGCATGGTCCGGGGCTCAGGGTTGAAAGTTCTAGAGCGGTCCTAAATCCTACATCCTCAGCCCTAAAGGGGGTCTACAGCAATGCCGGAAGTGAGGGTGGCTGACGTGAGTAGGGTCTAGGATTAGGGTCTAGGATTAGGGTTTAGGGATTAGGGTTTAGGGTTTAGGTGATTCAGGGTTTAGAGTAAATTCTTTCGGGTTGGGGTCCAGGTAAGCCCAAGACCACACAGCCCAAGCTTTGACGGATCGTGGTTGATTTGGCATCTGGAAAAAGCAGATCATAGGGTTTTTTTGGGGGGGAATATTGGGGCTATCTAGGGATAGTAGAAAAGAAAATGGAAACCACAGGGATTATAGGAGATTATATAGCTTGTTTTGCGAAAATGGCTCTAAGCTTCTGAAAGATTCTAAAGTGGATGTAGGGTTTAGGGTGACATCACCTCACACGGTAAACATCCGAACCAGGATCGTTCAAAAAGCACAGAAGCCCCATAAGAAATTAAGCGCTCCGAGACACCCGAAAAGTGAAGATAAAGGCAGCGTAAACCCGGAGTCTCACACCCTGCACACCTTGCGCCTGCCTCTGCTTATGACCGCGGATCAAAAAAAACTTGCACGAAGACACGTCCACCGCACCTCGCATCCTAGACAAGGATCACCCTAAAGCCTAAACCGCAAATCCTAGACCCCCCAAAACCCCAAATCCCTAGACCCTAAACCTTTAAACTTTAAGCCCTCACCCCCAAACCCTAAAAGCTAAACCCTAAACCTTCAACCCCTAAACCTTACACCCTTAAAGCCTAAACTAAACCCCTAAACCTAAACCTTAGACCCCTAAACCTTGACCGAGTTGCGTCGCTCGCCTGTCTCCTGCAGAGCCCTGGATGATCTGAGCGAGCAGGCAGGGCTTAAATCTGAAAGGGCTTATAGGGCTTAGATTTAGGGTTTAGGTTTTTAGGGGTTCAGGGTTTAGGGGATTTGGGTTTAGGGTTTAGGATTTGGGGGATTAGGGTGTAGATTAAAGTATAGGTTTTAGGGTTTAGGGCTGAGGGGATCAGGGTTTATGGTTTAGGGGGATGTTGACAAGGGAGATCTAGGACTGTAGACTATAGCTCATGTGGGACGTCCCAGCTTCCAAGCGCGAGGACCTGGCAGTGTACAGGTGCGTGGTCCTGGTTTCGTTCAAAGATGTAGAGAATTGCGGATTGTTGTGCATCCTAAACCCTAAGCCCTAAACCCCTAAACCTTAAACCCCAAACCCAAAACCCTGCTAGGGTTTGGGTTCTAAGGTGTAGCGCAAGCACGACAGCCTACCTCTCACCTGCAGCCTGAGCAACTCAAGCGGGTGGATAGCCGTAGATGCGATTTAGGGTTTAGGGTTGAGGGTTTAGGGGGTCTTTAAGTGGGGTGGGCCAAGCGCTAGCCTGGTAACCTAGTAATTCCCAATACTCCGTAATCCTCCCTAGTAGCCCCCCCAAGACTCCCTAAGGTTCCCCAGTACCTACGCCCTGAAACCTAAATCCTAAGCCCTAAACCCTGAATCCCAAATGGGGTTGTATAAAAACCCCGTATTGAATCCTTCATAAACTTCAACCTTATCGTTTTTTTTTACTCCTTATCGTTTT